GTTCCTTTGTTACTGCAAAAATAATTTGATGGCCTCCTGAAATGTGAATTATTGAACTTCCCTTCCCGAGAGAGCAAGTGACTTGGCTGAAATTACATTGCACATTTCCCTTGGTCCTCTGCCTGTGTTTAGTCTTTCTTGATAACTGTCAAATTTGTTGGCTATTTTGTAGACTTTTTTTAGATGCAATATTAAACAATATCATGGATTACAGAAGTGTCACACTGTGCAGAGGTCTGACTTCAGGAGAGAAAGCAGTGGGTGTTCTTTCTGATGAATGTCGTATGTGAGCTTTTAATAAACGTGGTTTGTTCCTCTGACTTGGGAATAAAACTTTTGCTGTTCCAGTAAAGCTCTTGAGGTCCCTGTGCTGGTACAGACCCAGTGCAGAGGTGGCAGGAAGGGAGCTACTCCTGAATTTGGGGTTCAGTTTTAAGACACCACATTTTTGAGGGCACTCTTGAGGTTCATGAGTTTTGAACAGAAAATTTTCTCTGTTCCTTTGTAGAAGGTCATTGTGTTTGGACTACATGCTTAACCCTGTTCTCAGCAGCCTGCACTGGCTGCCTGTGGGCCCTAAAAATGGAAATGGTTGCTCGTGGCTTGATCCTTGAGGTGTTGCTGCTTTCCAGTGCGATTCACTCAAGCAGGCAGCAGCAGATGTGCCGTAACCTCGGGGTCTTTCTGTTTGACTGGGCGCTTCTCTACCCCCAAGTCCTTTAAAAAGAAGGAAAAAATGAATGTATTTTTAAAGCATATGGTCCTAATAAGTAGTTGTTTGATGTGACTGACAAATACATAAATGCGTTCTTGTGAATAGGTGTGAGTTAGAGATCCAGAATCTGTCAGCTCTGTTTTCATCGCAGCAATACCTGCAGTCTGCAGCGCAGCTGTGGAAAAGTTGTAATTAAACAGTTTTTACATTGCAAGAGGGGATTCAGAATTGATTCTCTTCTTGGGTGAGTCTTGAAGGAGCTCTGTCACTTTGTGCTCTTATTCCTCCTTTGTTGTTTCTCTCTCCCCAGGTTTCATTGCCTCCGACATGACTTCCAGGAACTCCAGCACGCAGCTGTGGCTGATCACACACTACCATGAGATGGGCTCCCTGTACGACTACCTGCAGCTGACCACGCTGGACACGGTGAGCTGCCTGCGCATCGTGCTGTCCATCGCCAGCGGGCTGGCCCACCTGCACATCGAGATCTTCGGCACGCAGGGCAAGCCGGCCATCTCCCACCGCGACCTCAAGAGCAAGAACATCCTCGTCAAGAAGAACGGGCAGTGCTGCATCGCCGACCTGGGTGAGTGCAGCCCCTGCTGCCCGCAGAAATCCCTGCTGGGATGGCTCCGGATGGGGAGCACTGCAGTACCCTGGCAGTGGCCCAGCAGTAGCCCTGCAGTACCCTGGCAGTGGCCCTGCAGTACCCAGCAGTAGCCTGGCAGTCCCCAGCACTAGCCCAGCAGTCCCCAGCACTAGCC